CACAAGTTGCGAGTGCTGAAATCTCCATCTTTAGCCGTTCAGGCCAAACTGATCAAGTGGGAAATGCAGTAACACATCACCAGAAGGGCATGTCGTGAGGCACAGCAATCGAGATTCATAGCAGAATGCAGCAACCATATTACCTGCTTGATTGCTTGGCACCCATTTAATCGATTTAATTTGGTAATCCATGCATCCCTGGTAACACTTACAGGCACAGAGAAGGACATACACATCTATTCATACCGTACTCGATGCTTACCAATTGCATGTCTGTCAGTATGTCAAAATGATAAAGTAAAAACAATCACATTTGATTGCTAAAAACTCTTTCCTCATTGCTTTGCCTGGATACGTCTCCGATTTAGATCCTTCAAAATTTTAAATGCCAAGTACAACGGGCCTAGAGTACCTAGTCGAACACGTTATTTGCTTACAAATCTGGCCTTACACCAGCAGCAGATTTTTATCAAATACCCCAATAGAATTTGTCCCTGCAGGCTGCCGTACTTCACCACATTGAACACATATATGGTCAATTGTTTTATTCTGCTCTAATGTTCTGTAACATTTTAGCATTCCCTATCAATTATTTCCTAAATTGCCTTGTTAAACACACCAACACCACGCGCAGCATTTCTCAGCAAAATTCTACCAAAACTCATCTAGCATGGTTCTTGAGCGAACTATACCAGCGACTCGAAACTTTCAGAACCATTACAGCAACACCAGTGCTACGTTGCGTCAAAAGTTGCTCATAACGTCGTTGGCGCTTTTACAGGATAGCTAATCTAAAGGCTCATTTGCCTCTTTTGTAGGGCTTCACAAGAGGGTTTCCTCGTGTCAAAATAATTAAGCCAGCGACGCATTCACACAGCAGTCTGGAGGCACGTTTTAATCTTGTCATACTTATGGCGTTTAATTATTTGGGCTGAATGAATTATATATGAGTTGAATAAAATGAATGTTGACAACTAAAAGTATGAAGCAATGCGTGAGCACAAAAGATCATGCTATAATTCGCAACATGCGAGAGCACGACACGCAAAACCGGCTGCCAGTAAATTTTTTGGTGGTGCTACGACCAATGTGAATTATTGAATACGTCCCTGGGTACGGCTAGAAAGAAGCTTATACTAATAACTTTCCAAGTGGTAACTTGATCTCTGGTTCAGTGACGCCTCACGAGCTCGACAGACGTCAAAACGATGGTCTGGAAACTCTCAGTATGCACTGAATTGTGACGTAAAGGCCGCCGTTGTGCCTGTGCTCATGGCATATAACGTGCGAGAGGCCCGATGGCGCTCGCCCGAGTGCAACATGTGGTTTTAGATGAGCTTTGTGTAATGCTGAGCACCTAGTGTAGGGTAGTCCGTGTTTTATAAAGTACATGTTTTGCACGCTTTCTGAAGGCTGCTCTGCTTTGTTCACCAATGCAAGGCGCAAGTCTATAGATGATCTAGTATTTAGGTCATTGTGGGTGATCATTACAAGGCTATGAATATGCTTTCCGGCCTCCGGACATCACTCCATTCAACGCTCATGTACGCTGGTCTTTATTTTCAAGAAGTGCTGTTAGGCATTGTTACACATCCAACTTAATCCTGGCTTCGATCTAGTCTTGACGCAGTCGAGAAATTCAAACATAATGTAGATGTTTGACGTCTTAGTCAATTCTCTTTCATTTATTTTCTAGATTTGTTATAACGTTAGTCAACTCTCTTTCAACTTCTGTATGCCACCCTGTCTGTGGAGTCACTCTCAAAGGAGATCAATTTGTATTCCATCTTGCAGCAGAACATGAAACAGACAGCTACCAAAGCAGTGCATAATCATTACATGCACATTAACGCACCAGACATGGACAATAGTCCGAACAATCGTTCCATCCGATACAAATAGTTTGTCTCAATCCTGCGGGAAAACCAGAGCCCATGCCAATTCACCTTAATAGGTATATCAAACTGATAATTCACGCTGCCCGTTTTTTCAGTCGGTCAGCAGTTGTAGCAATCTTTTAAGCCAATCGCTGTTTCGAAAACTAACTGGGGCTCGAGAGCACGAATTTTTCAGGTGATTCGTTCGTTCCAGTAGCTTAGTGGGTTGAAGTGTCGGCCCATGGACTCGCCAAGCCTTGGCGGTGAGGGTTTGAGTTGCTTTAGGTGCCCGCTATTTACCCAGGACTGTAATGACATGCAGCCGGCGGCAGCGCCGCGCCAAAGGTCATGTGACGTCAGTGGGCAAGACGGACCATGCCGAGCATTATGGCGTGTCAAGCTCTTGCCGCAAATTTCTGCCGTCGATCCATAACTCGTGATCGGTGAGTGGGCTCAATGCTCACGCATTGAACATTGCTCAGCACGGTCGCTCATCCCAGAAATCTAGCCAGTCAAGCGGTTCGGAATAAACCTTAAAGATGTCAGGTATTTTACGTGACGTACTTGACCACCAACCACGCGGTGGTAGCCAATGCAACGTTTTCGCAGGCAACATGACGCGGACTAGCAATTTGTCGTTGAAAGCCTGACCCGGCAGTCATATCCTGGACTAGCAGAAGTTTTAAAGAAGTGGCGCCTAGCGGGTCGCAGTTGGCGAAGCTTAGCCCAAATGGTGCCAGGTTAAGTAGCGTTCCTAGCTCCCTTCCCAAAACACGGATCGCTCACTCCAACAGTAAGCGTTTTGCGAACGCCCGGATTGCAAACGACACGCACACCTGGCTTCGGGCTCAGAGTACCGGCCAGTCGCGCCTGCAGCGCGCGCCCTGAACGCACCACTAAAGCACCCCCACTCCGGACAAGCTCGCCTGGCCTCGGGGCTTTTTAGCCCGTCACGGGCCGTGCACAGGCACGTGCCGCGCGCACGCCGCTCACGCCACCGGCGGGGGTGGCGGTGGGGCGGGGGCGGTGGGGCGGCCGGGATGGCGTATCGAGCCGGATGCACCCAGCACAGTGGCGTCCGTCCTGAATGGGTCATCAACTGGCGGCGCGCCATCGCTGACGCGCATGCAAACAGTCAGTCGCTCGGCATACCGCCTGAATGCACGAGAGGTGCGCGGGGGGCAAACACAGCGGCGGGTGGGTGGTATTTTCAGCTGCTGGTATTGAAAGATGGCGTGGATAGGATACACACGAGAGGTGCTATTGCACACAGGGGAAGCGGTGGCCGTCGCTGGACCGAATGGCGGCACAAATGGACCATCGTAGGCGCAGCTCATTCACGTGGCATTGCAATTATGACGCGAGGCAGGCCCAGGGAGACGCGGGCCTGCGATTCCGCCAGATCCAGCGATTCCGCCAGATCCAGTGATTCCGTCAGATCCAGCGATTCCTTCAGATCCAGCGATTCCGTCAGATCCAATAGACGCCAGGGCGTAGCGCATGTCGCTCTTCTGTGTCACCTTTCAGATGTGATGACGCACGCTTCGGTGCAAGCTTTGTCATAGCTGTTTCGTCATAGTAGTTGTTTGCAAATGTTTACTTTGTGTATTGACCATTAACGGAGGCTGTGGAGGAGAACAGTAGGCCGATAATTTGATCGCTTTGACTACTTCATATCATGAATGCTAGCTGCCTTGTTACGAGATGTGCGCAGGGAAACTGAAGATCATTTTTGCGTCGTATGAACATGTAAGAGGGCAGTCCTTATTGCTGACCCAAGACCAACGTGACTAGTCCCTGTTCATAGCAGTATTCCCCGACAAGACGTTGCATTTTTACAGTTGTAGTCATTCAAAGCTAACAGCAATTGGTTGCACACACATTTTAGCAGTTACATTGGTCCAAGCTATATCTCTAAAGCATTGTTTAGTCCAACGTAGGGATACATCAATGAGAAGCCCACCGCCTCCCACATCCGGCGGAATCCGTCCCGTCTCTCAGTGGAAGTCGCCATCTCCCGTCTCTCAGTGGGAGTCGCCTTCTCCTGTGTCTCGTTGGTAGCCACCGTCTCCTGTGTCTCGGTGGGAGTCGCAATCTCCCGTGTCTCGTTGGTAACCGCCGTCTCCTGTGTCTCGGTGGGAGTCGCAAACTCCTGTGTCTCGGTGGTAACCGCCGTCTCCTGTGTCTCGGTGGGAGTCGCAAACTCCTGTGTCTCGGTGGGAGCCGCCGTCTCCCGTGTCTCGGTGGGAGCCGCCGGCGGCTGTCAGCCGGTCCCGCGCCGACGCCGGCTCCGGGGCGGCTCCAGGAGCGCTGCGGCCGCCGCAGGGCCGGGCGGCATCCCTCTGCGGTGGCGGTCGGCGCTCTCGCGGCCGCCAGGGCCGGCCGTCGCTCGCCGGTAACGGGCCGCCGCCTGCAGGGCGAGTGCGTGCTGCACCGCGGTTCTCACGCAGAGGACCGGACGTCGTGGTCGATGGGCTCGTTGGACAGTCGAGAGAGTTGGAAAATGGCCGCTGAGAGTGTGACATGGAACAAAGATACTATTTGAATGCCTCCGCAAAGGGCATTGTACCCAATGGCATAGCCAGCACTGATGCAATGGAGGTCTGGAAACCAGTAGTTTTGGGGCAGATTTGACTCTCTTTGTTTTTTAGGCATATGTCATTAGGCCAAAGCGGAAATGGACCAGAAACATTTACGGTGCGAGTATCTCAATGACTATGCTCACTATGTATGCCCAGCCGTGTATTCGAAGCATGCAGGGCTGGTCCTATGGTCATGAAAACAATCAACGGCATGCGTTGTTGGCTGTTCTCCACATGCGCTGTAAAAGATGAGAATCGATACAATCGCGAGAGTTAAACATGCAGGATGCGTTACGGTTTAAGAAAAACCCAAGGTTTGCGTGATGCCGCACTGAGCGCCAAGAAAATGCTACAATCAAACTAAAAAAAAAAAAACACAGTCAAACGGCATGAAACGCAGGGCACAGTGAGTTAAAGTGAGTTAAATGACATAAGTTACCCACTTAAATCTTCTTGAATTAAGAAAACTGCTTCCATGAGATCGCATCTGTTTTGAAAGAGTTTGCCGAATAACCCGTGCGTCGGTACGGAAAAACAACAGTTCCATCGAATTCGTTTATAATTGCGCTACATTCACCTACCATCTCATTTGCAATAAATAGTGCTGAATCACACGCGCAAACATAACGGAACACTCAGCTTACACAAATCAGTAGGCAATATCACATTTATGTACAACATCCAGCGTCCCAGTAATTGCCGAAGCGAAACACGACGCCACTGACCACATGATGCCTCGCGTACTCACGAGCTGATTAAAGGCATCGGACATTATCAACAACGACCAAACGTCTGGTCAACTCCAACATTTCTGACAAATGCGCGCAGGGAAGGATGCGTTGCGCTGATAATAAGTGATCATATTTTCGCATCCTGCTATACAAAGTTCTACCATAAAGATGTGTGTGGACAAGCTTCATTTGTAATGTGCTTTCTTGGCGGAAATTCAGTAGATCGTGAGAAGTTCAGCCCCACCTCATTCCTCGGTCAGATGGGGCCAAGTGCCTCACAGTGCGGTATACGACGCGGAAACGCACGGCCGACACAGGCACTGCGATGACGTCACGAAGCGGGACTTGCCGAATTCCGCGGCCCCTCCACACGCCGCGCCGCGAAACTCGGCTTGCCCGGCGTCACCTACGCTGTCCGGCGCGAGCGCGTCCACCACAGACTCCACGTGGGTGTTAACACGGCCCTCTGCACCCGGGGTGGGGCCCTCTGCGCCTTAACCACCCGCCAGCCCTCATCGGGTCTTGCGGAATCTTGCGACTTTGCCAGACATGGTTCAGGTTTTCTCCGCACAACGGCGTCACTGAGCCCGTATAGGTGGCGCTGCTCACTGCTTGCGACTGTGCCTTTCCGCGCGATCGTGCTCGTCCTTATGGTGGTGTCGGTGGTGGTGGTGGTGGTGGCGTCGCTTGTCCTCGCCACGGTACATGTGCGCCACGTCCGCCACGGTCAGCTCGCTGGCGTCGCGGTACATCTCAGAACGCATGGTCGGCTCTCCGCGCGACTTGCCACCACTTCCCGACTTTCGCTCCTGGCGTCCGCTAGACTGGAGGTTTTCCCACGCGCGCTTGTAGTACTTGTTCAGACCGTGGGTCTCTGACTCAGTAGAGTAGCTGCTGGAGTTAGCGTTAGGGTGCGAGCGGCGCTGATGATAGCCGCGGTTCCTGCGAAATGCGAGGTCACGTGAGCGGTCTCGTGACAGACCGGCAGGTCACGTGGCGGTCACGTGTGAGGACGGCCGCCGGAGAGTGCGTTACAATTCGCTCGACCTGGAAGCCAGAGAGTTAGGGTGGTGTTAGTGCCAGTCGCAGTCACGTGTCAGTCGGGCTGGTGCTAGTGCATGCATTAAAGCGCGGACGTCATGACGCATGACCGAGAGGGAGCTGTGCCAGCTGTGCCAGCTGTGCCCCTGGTAGCCAGGGGCAGCAGGGAGCGAGTGGTGAGCACGGTGGAAAGCAGTAGAAAAGAAGAGAGAAGAGTGGCTATCGTTTTGAAGCCCGTTCATATCTGTAAAATCTCTGGGGATACAAATTCACTTGGCAGCTCAGCTAGTAGAGGACCGACCCAACATCTGACCATAGCGTGGCAGACAGTAAGTTCGCGTACCAGGATCTTTGTTTATGCGTCTGTTCAATACGGTCAATGGTGAAAACTGGTAAGAAAGAAGCGGGATGGGATGAATCGGTCGTGTCGCAACATTACATGGCACTGCCACGGCAACGGACACCGACACAAATTGGAATTGCTCTTCTGAAGCATGGCTGTCTCGAAATTAAAGGGTCTTTGCCATGACTCGGAAGTCATCCTCTCCAAGTGTTCCGTTCATCCCTTAACAGAGTGCGGTGGTCGAGCCACCGAGACCGCAACAAAGGCAGGAACCCGCCACAGCTGTTTGCCGGGACAGCGACCTCCAGTGGGTTAGGTTCCCAGTTCCATTCTCTCCCCTTGTTCCGACTTCATTGCACAGCGTCTTTCCGCCCTGCATTTTTAATGATTGTAGGTATGTGAGGGGCTGATACCAAGCACGCTAAAGCCCTTTTTCGAGGTGCTCGTTTGATGTTGGACGCGAACGCATGTTAGAGAGAAATGGACCATTGTGGTGAGCTTGGACACCATCGACGCAATGTGTCATGACAACCATGGCTAACTGAGCCTCAAAGTGTCAGCATGGTGCATCAGAACCTTGCACGTGTTGGCCTGAAAGAACCCATCGCTTTTCAAGACGATGAGTTTATCGGACCGGAAGGAGTGCTGAGACATTCGATCATTGCAGGTGCCATCAGCAGAGGAGGTCAGAGGTCGACGACCGGACGCCCGGGAACCGATATGGGTGCTGGGTGTTGTAGAACACCTACACGAAGTCCAACCAACCACTTCTGAACCACTATTGGCTATCAATACGGAAGCGATTGTGATTTGTGAACTTGTGAGTGCCGTTGAATTGGTGCGCCGAATGGAACGAGAGCATACCGTTCTTTACCGTTGAGTTCGCCGTGCTGTCAATGCATCAGAAATAGTCATGCGTTGGCAATGTTTTAGTCGCCATCGCCGTTCATGAGCTTACAAAGTCGCGGTGCAGTGGCGTGGTGCCCCTCAAAACGGTCTGCCATTCCTTTAGCCGTGCGCATGCCACTGTGCTGTTGACAGACAGGTGCCGAAAGCTTTCTTTGACAAGAAATCAGGCGAATCTGTATAGCCGCACCGGCATTGACAACGAATCGCAGTGCTTCGGACAACGAATACACGTGCTTTGAACAACGACTACCAGCGATAATGCGTGTCTGTATGGGGCTATTAATCTCCAAGCCATGCTTATGACAATTTCATGAATCGCGCGGGCCCTGCTTGTGCCGGTGTCTCTCACACAATGGCCGTTTGGTTTCAGTACTTATCTCACCGGCTGGGGCTGGCCCGTCTCTATGCGAGTCCCTTGGGTGAGGCACGAGTCCGTCCCTTGGATCGGGAATGTGTCCATCGCCGTACGCATCCCTTGGGTGGGACATGAGTCCGTCTCCGAGCGCGTCCCTTGGATAAAATATGAGTCCGTCTCCTTGCGCGCCACTTGCTCCGGTGAAGCATGAGTCTGTCTCTGTGCGCGTCCCCTGGATAGGGCATGAGTCCCTCTTCGTTCGTGTCCCTTGGGTGAGACATGAATCCTTCTCCGTGCGCGTCCCTCGGGTGAGACGTGAGTCCGTCCCCGTGCTCGTCCTTTGAGTGAAGCGTGAGTGCTATTCCGTGCGCGTCCCCTGAACAAAGTATGAGTACGTCTCCGTGCGCGTCCCCTGAATAAAGCACGAGTCCGTCTCCGTGCGCGTTCCCTGGATAAAGCATGAGTCCGTTTCCGTGCGCGCCCCTTGTGCGAGACATGAGTGCGTCTCCGTGCACGTCCTTTAGGTGAAGCGTGAGTCTTGTTCCGTGCGCGTCCCTTGGATAAAGCGTGAGTCGGTCTCCGCGCGCGTCCCTTGGGCGAGGCGTGAGTTCGTCTCTGTGCGCGTCCCGTGCGTGCGTCCCACGTCCTCGCGTGTGCCGTCATGTCTTGTGCGTGCGTCCCACGGCCGAGCGGGGGCCGTCATGCGTCGCACGTCGGACGTAGCTCGCCTCCGTCCGTGTCGCGGCGCGCCGGTCCGTCACGTACCGCCGTCCGTCCACCCTCGTCTCAGCGCAGGTACGGGTCCCGCGCGCGCCGCGAGAACTCAGAGAGTTGTCGCCGGCCGGTAGTTTGGTCGGAGAAGGGCAGCGCCAGCACCGTGTACCAGCGCTGCGGCTGGGCAGGCGAGTCGGGCGGGGAGGGCGGCAGCTCGGTCTCCCGGACTAACCCGTCCGGACTGCGGGCCCGGGTGCAGCCAGGTCACGCTCCAGGTCAGCAGTCGGCCAGGGCCAGGCTCGACACAAGGTCAGGATTAGGCTCAGGGTCCGGGTCGACTCCAGATGGGGGGAGGTGATTTGGGGTAATATGAACCAGCCCTGCCTCTGGGAGGGCAGAGTTTACTAATGGCCCAAGATATGCAGCTTCAAGGGCTAACGTTGCCTCTAAGAGGGTCGGGTTAGGCGATGGAATCGGTGAATGGATCCAGCAAAGATCAGAAGATGTGGTGGGGTCGTCGTAAGATGACACGTTAAAAAAGTTTTCATGAGCGGTAATAGTTTTCAGATTGTAAGAATGTGGATTGACAACCGGGGTCTATGGGCTGAGAGGCTGGTTTCAATGTCAGAGCGACGCCATATATTTTCTACTCTAGAGGGCAAACGCGCGAATCGCAAGTGTGACGCTTTCAGCACGGGTACAAACGCTGAGACTTATATGTACGGGGTTATATGCAGGTGTAATGTTGGCCTCACATCACTCCCATCTAATTCATTCATTGCAGCAGTTGATCGTGCGTCCAAAGCAAGCTTATAACTTGAGCGCATACGGTACGCTTCAAAACGTAGCCGAAATATAGAAGCATATTGGCAGCGACAGCATGGAGAAAAAGTCAGAACCAGAGAGAAAGAGGGAGGGAGCAATATGACAGGTTCTTACAACTGCACGGCGTTTATACCACCAGAATCCAGTTTTGTTCGTACAGCAAGTACCCAAATGCCCGAGAAAAATGTGCCCATGGTACTACAGGGCGAATCATATGATATCCTGGCTTAAGGCTCTTATAATAGTAATACTGCTTTTGAATAATCATTAACGCAAAATATTCATGTGGCAATCTATCTCATCCATCAAACTAGCTTAATCGTTAAGAAGGTGTAGTAAAACAGTTGGCTCTTTGAACAGCGTTCATTCCACTTCAAATTTAAGGTTGCTGCTCAATGGTATTCTAATGAGAGGAAAAGCCTGGGAGAATAGCTACGAGAAAAGCAAAACACAGACGGATATAAGCCGGAGGCACCAGGTGGTGAAAAGAAGAGAGGGATGGAAGGAAGTCCTCAGTCATGTGTCATGTAACGTCGAAGCGCAGCAGTCGAAGCAAGCTACACACGGCACAAGCTGAGGCTTTATGTGCACGCCACCTCAGCAAGCTCTTAGCGTGGATCTGCACCGTAATCAAAGCAAAACTTATAGCGCAGTGCAGTTGATTTCCACATCTGACAGCTCAATTTACCGAAAAGAAATATAACACCAGGAGACAAAAATAAAATAATCTACAAGGAATGAGTAACAAGACGTTTCTCACCTCCGGATCAGGATCACGATGGTGGTGACCACTGCAGCGAGGAAGACAAATCCTCCGAACACACTCAAGGCAATGATGCCGCCTGTAATACACGGAATAGCGATCAGCAATCGGCAGGCATGGGGCACGCCAGGGCTGTTGACATTCAAATAGTGCCAACCACTTTATTGCAGCAAAGCGGTTCATACAAATAGCGTCAATCACTTTATTGCAATAAAGTGGTTAACGCAAATGGCGTCAATCACTTTATTGTAATGAAGTGGTTGCCGCTATTTGGGGGTGCATATTCATGCAGATAATGTACATTCACGAAAACTCGAAGTGTTTTGCTAGCGATGGTCAGGCGAAAATCCACCACATCCGCAGCTCCGAAGGAGTATGGTCACGCCGCACGACAAAACAGCACACACTCGAATGATGACCATCAACATGACAAACGTGCCAGCATCAAGCCGGAGACGAAAAATATCGGGATAGTTTATCATGTCACCACCGCCGTCAAGGTGGAATACGTCGAAACTAGTATGCATAACGTTAGTACAATCAATGAAACAAGGCTGAATGTACAGCAAAACTGATCAATTGCGTTCCAAAACAAGCAAACAAACATTTGATATCATGCTTTCTGAAAGCCTCGAGGGTAAACGTGCAATCACAAACATCAGGGAGGAATAGGTGCGAAAGGAGCACGTATGACGTAAGTACAAATAATAAAACAGGGCTGGACGGACAACAAAAAGCATCCATCACATTACGACAAAAGCAAACGAACTTGTCATATTGGGCTGGTAGAAAGGGCGGTGGATGACCGGATGTAACCACCTGTCGAACGTTCAGATTGATAGACCGTATGCCTTATCGTACAGGTCGGATGCTGATGGCCTGATTGCCATATCGTGAAGGCGGGCTACTGTCAACATGTATGCCGACTCGTATCGCAGAACCAGGCTGCTTCACGCGTGCCTTTCAGCCCTGAACTCTCTTCGGGTTTCCCCTGCGTCTGCTGCCATTGGACGGCCCGCTCCCGGCAGCCACCGAGAGCAGCACTAAAGAGAGGCCAGGACCAAAACGCGCGCATGTGGCGCGCCTACTCTTTCCAGAACCGCCCCCGCGGTATGACATACAGGAAATCACTCCAGAACACAAGTATGTCTTTCCTCACGACCTATATGCTCCGCTCAGGTCTTCACCAGCCATCAATGCACCGTTCTAGTCCCCATTATTTACTCAAGCACCAGACACCGTGACTCACACGTATCGGTTAAGTCTCCACGATCAACGATATTAAACCCCCCATTACTCACCCTGCACCACACGAATCCCTACGATCCAACCTCTTCAGCCCCAACAGATACGTAGCTCGGGGAGGGGGAAGGGGGAGGGGTGGCGATGAGCCACCCATGAGCCAAGAAGTGTACACCACGGATCGAGCGACTTCTCCGGAACTCGGTCCAAATTGCAGGAGTTTGTGCGACTTGTGCCCTTCCACTCCTGAGGAGAATTCCGACCACGCGTCAGAGCCCCCGGCCAATTCCATCACGATTCGAGTGAGTCACCTCTCACCGCGGGCCGCCACAGCCAGCCCTTCACTCACCCATGTGCAGCTTGGGTCCGGTCGAGCGTTCGTCGAGCGTGTTGGCCGGCTCTCGCACACCGGGCGCGTTCTGCCGGATGTTCACCGTGTCCGGGATCTCGTTCTCCTCCGGTCGGCCGAAGCTGATGACGCCTGCGCCGGCCACGGCCACGGCGTCTCCGGCTGCAGGCGGCGTTGACTTAGACGGGGCGCCGGCGGGCCGGGCTGGCGCCGGCGAGGGCGGCAGGTGCGGGCGGGTGGGCGCCGGCGAGGGCGGCAGGCGCGGGCGGGTGGGGGCGGGCGGCGAGAGGCGGGGGCGGGTAGAGGTGGGCGGCGGGAGGCGGGGGCGGGTGGAGGCGGGTGGCGGGCGCCGCCGCGAAGGCGTGCGCGCGGGCGGACGTCGGCCGCCGGACGCTGGACGCTCCGGTACTGGCACGGCCAGTGAGGGCGGCGGCCGACGCCCCTCGTGGTGGACCGGCTTTGGGCGGGGGGTCGTCTGGGAGGCGACGGAGGTCGCAGTGGGGGAGGCGTCATGCGGCGCGGGTGGCGCGGGCGGCACGGTGGCCGGCGCTGGCTCCGGGTCGCTGGACTCGGAGGGCAGCGGCTGAAGTACGACCACAAGCTCCGGTTGACCGGCGCCATCCCCGAGTTCGCTGGGCATCGACTCAAGGTGGCTGAGTTCTGGCTCAGCTTGGATAGGAAGTTCCTCGGGAGCACCCACGGGGTCCGGAAGAGACTCGGAACCTGTCAGCTGGACCAGGGTCGGCCTGAGCTTCCGCCTTCTCGTAGGCCTTACAGCCGGCCTGCTTCGCGCGGGGACCTGAGGCTTCTCCCTCTGGACCGGAGCCATCTCAGTGGTGATATACTCGCTCTCGAAGGGCACGGTGGTCCCGGCGTCTGACCAGACGTCCGTGCCCGGATCGGCCACGGTAGACGGGGGCAGGGTGGGAGACGGTGACTCCGCGTCGGTGGGGCGGGGCCCAGTGACCTGCTCCTCCCCCTCCTCCTCCTCCTCGGCGGGGGAGGTCGTCGTCACGACCGTGGAGGCAGAGTTCTCTCCAACCGGACGTCGGCGAGAAACAGCGCCCAGCCGGGTGGCGGTGGCGGGACGGCGCGAGGGAAAGACGAAGTTTGAGGGCCGCGGCCGGCGGCGGCGCAGAGGACCCTGACCGAACGCGAGCCGCGGCCGGGAGGAGGACGTCTCCGAGTCGACCTCGGCCGCCGGAGCGTCGCCGGCCGGTGGGTCAGTGTTGGACGGACTGGCAGGCCGGCTGGGGCGACTGGGGCGACTAGGGCGGCTAGGGCGGCCAGGACGGCCAGGGCGCGGCTGGAGCCGGTTCCGGATGAGGGTGAGGCGGCGGGTGGGCACCAGTCTTCCCGGCCCCGCGTCCGGCACAGTCGGGGCAGGCTCAGTGGGGGCGGTGGGCTGCGCGGTGGAGGTCGGAGTCTCAGTGAACTCCTCCTCGGGCGAGAGCGTGGTCGACTGCTTCCGGAAGATAAAGACCCGGCGGCGCTTCTCCCCCTCCACATCTTTCACGACCACCCTGTCTCCGGGCAGCACGGTGTACGGGGGCGACGTCGGCCGGACTGTGGGATCGGTCGGTTCCGGAGTGGAAAGCGACGACTCGTCGTAAGCTATGTCGTCGTAGAGGGGGTCTTCGTAGGTCGGTTGGTCGTCGGCCGGCCGGTTGGGCGCGGAGAAGCCGGTGTATTGTCTCTCCTCACTCAGCTCGGAGGCCGCGATCACGAGAGGGTCGTCGTCGGCAAGGGGGGTGTCAAATGTCGGGGCAGGGTTGGTGCTTGTCGATTGTTCTGTCTCTGAAAGTCGACAAAACGGGAGAGAAGCGTGAGACAGAGTCGTGCACAAGGCTGGTCCAGTTGTCTGCTAGGACGATAGCCAAAAGCAAGAAAGGCTCAAATCTACGGCTCCGCGGAATGCACACCGACACACTTGGACCCTTTTAGTTAACTACCACGGCAGCAGCAGGAAGCAAGAACAGGCAAATTAGCGCATTTCAGTTCGACCCAGGACAACCAAAATCACAAACGCATTGCGCCCAAACGTATTCATACACACACCGACACCTATACATAGATATATAAACCCTCATTAACGCACATATATACATATATATATATATATATATATATATATATATATATATATATATATATGCATATATAATGCATATATATACATATATATATATATATATATATATATATATATATATATATATATATATATATATATATATATATATATATATATATATATATATTTATATATATATATATATATACGCATATAAATGTGTATATACATATGTATAAGATATATGTATGCTTTGACAGACATGCGACACGAAACTAAAGTCTATCTACATGTACTCGTATGTACATTGAAAACACCAACAAAAACAGCGATGACGCAGAAGCAGCGCGGATTTTGTTTTCAATAGTAGTGGAAAGAAAAGACAAGAGGCTCCAGGCGTATGCAGACAGACGTCAGAAGTACGAAGATGTTGTGCTGTTGTGGAGTTCGAAGAAGTCAGGGTTGTCATGGCCGGCTGTCAGGTCTGATGCCTTCTCCTGACCAGTTGAGGTGTCACATTGCGAGGATGCCGCCCGATAAACGGAGGCAGGGCATGGCGTAGGCTGTGAGGATGACCCTCGATAAACAAAGGCAGGGCATGGCGTGGGCTGTGGGGATGCCGCTCGATAACGGAGGCAGGTCATGGCGCGGGCTGTGAGGATGCCGCTCGATAAACGGAGGCAGGGCATGGCGTGGGCTGTGAGGATGCCGCTCGATAAACGGAGGCAGGGCATGGCGGGGGCTGTGAGGATAACCCTTGATAAACGAAGGCAAGGCATGGCGTGGGCTGTGAGGATGCCGCTCGATAAACGGAAGCAGGGCATGGCGTGGGATGTGAGGATGACCCTCGATGAATGGAGGCGGGGCATGGCGTGGGCTGTGAGGGTAACCCTCGATGAGTGGAGACAGGGCATGGCGTGGGATGTGAGGATGACCCTCGATAAATGGAGGCAGGGCATGGCGTGGGATGTGAGGATGCCGCTCGATAAATGAATGCCGCACATGGCACGGTTTGTGGGATCACATCAACGGCTGTTCCTATGTAAGATAATTTAAAATAACTGCGATGAATGCGATTGACTTTAAGTACGATGGCATGATACGTGAATATAAATTTACATAAAGTTTGGGTCACTCGCAAACATGTTTTTATTAGGCTAGTGTCGTAGTGCCCAAGAAAACCAGCGTAGCGGTCGTCAGGACCAGTAGCGTAGCCATGCCTTTGATGAACAGAGGTACGAAGTTACCATTCTAACATCGTAATCAAAAAGAAAACACCGAATAGTGCTTAGTAATCTTTGTTGTGCGGCCATTTAAAACATATTTTAGCAAAAATAATGCCTTGTTGTCAATGCTCACAAGGTCTCCCATATCAAGAATGGTGGTAAACGGCGCCGAATTCCCCACACAACTTCAGGTGACTGGGCCTAAATGTAAAGTGGAACAGCGCACCCATGCGATACGCCATTTCACGGTAAGCCATTCCGTAACAATAACGGAGCCCCCCGATAATTTACGATCTTTGGTAGATCAAGTATGTAACATTTTATTCTACCTCTTTTCATGAAGGTCAATCACTCTCTCTGCTCTTTCTTAGCTACGCTAATGCTCGTGACGTAAATGTTGCACAGTTCTTTGCAAATCAATGGATATTTTGTTAAGGATTTCCCACGCTGAAAGGCACTGCGCAGTATCATACAACTATTAGTGGCCCAACGTTCCGCCAGATGGCCGTAGTAGTCGTACCTCGGCACACTGGAGGCTCCTGATTGTAAGTCCCGTCGCGCATGCAGCGGAGCGTGCGAGGCCCGGTCAGGGTGAACCGGTCATCTAAGCAGTAATACTCCACGAGGGTGCCGACGATGGTCGAGTTGGTGGAGACGCGGAAGCCGCCGTTCAGAATCGCAGGCGGCTCCTTGCAGAAGACGGCTGTGGACGAAGAACGACACTCAGATATGGACCTCTCATAGTCGGCGCGAGACATTTGCTTCGCCTACCCATTCATAAGGCTGTTGGGAGAGAATGCGTCATGTGCCGCGGTTTTAGAATTGGCACTCCCGCAGCACTGATGCGCAGCGAGCCTCTGCTGCATTGCCACAGCCGGGTGTGCGCGCCACTGAACGCGTGATCGACCTACTTCCCCGTTGACCTGATATTGCTTGCTATGTGCACACTGCCACATCCTTTTGTTAGACAGCCGCCATGGGAGCATTCGGCGTTCGGGAAAAGGCTGAAACACCCTGATGTGTTCGTGCAACGGTGCGTAGACTTTCACGGAGCAGCAGCACGCAACAAGGAATAGGATCGGAAGCCATAACCATCGCCAGCAGCGTGTCGACAGCCGCTACTTCGTCTGCGGCTCGGAGAACCATCTAGGACCGCTGAGTGCGAGAACCCGCCTACGTTTGCAGTTCAGAGATGACCCACAGCTCGCGGCGGAGGAGGGCTGCCCGAGTTCGCGCAGAGCGAGAAGACCACGTTGCAGTTCAGAGATGACCCACAGCCCGCGGTGGAGGAGGACTGCCCGAGTTCGCGCAGAGCGAGAAGACCACGCGCACTCACGGCGGGAGATGACCATCTATGTTCACAGAGGTGGAGCAGCACGTGCGTTCGCAGAAGGAGAGGACCAGTTACGTTTGCAGCGCGGGAAAGGAGCACACACACACCTTCACAGATGGAGAGGACCATTTGTGTTTGCAGAGGAGGAGAGGACCACCCACATGCATTCGCGGTGGGAGAGGACAACTCACGTTCGCGGTGGGAAAGAACAACTCCCGTTCGCAGCGCGGGGGAGGACAACTCACGCTCGCAGCGCAGGGGAGGACAACTCACGTTCACAGCGCGGGGAGGACAGCTCACGCTCGCAGCGCGGGGGAGGACAACTCACGTTCGCAGCGTGGGAGAGGACAACTCACGTTCACAGCGCGGGCAGGACAGCTCACGCCCGCAGCGTGGGGGAGGACAACTCACGTTCGCAGCGTGGGAGAGGACAACTCACGCGCGCAGCGCGGGGAAGGACAACTCACGTTTGCGGCCCTGGGGAGGACTACTCACGTTCGCAGCGCGGGGTAGGACAACTCACGCTCGCAGAGCGGGGTAGGATAACTCACGCTCGCAGCGCGGGGGAGGACAACTCACGCTCGCAGCACGGGTAGGACAACTCACGTTCGCAGCGCGGGGGAGGGCCACCCCAGCGTTCGTCGACGTCGCAGATGAGTTCGTTGCGGCCGACCATAACGAAGTCCTCATCGCACTCGTACACCACCATGGACATATAGCCCCGCGTGTCGTTCACCAGGCTGTAACGGCCGTGCTTGATGCTCGCCGGCATGCCGCATTGCAGGTCTGGGGAACGTCGAGAGAGCGGTCGGTGAGCAAGCTCGCTTTCTAGGGAGCCGGCGCACGAGAGTCGGCAGGTCGGAGCAGCTCAGGTCATCAGGTGATGGTACGTTCCCCACACTCCACGGTGCAAATTTTCCTCGTAATTGTCAGTCCTTTGGTCTGTACTTGTTTGCAATTTTTGACTAGTTATGCTCAGCATCTAAATGCATATAGAGCGTATAGTGCAACATGCGTTTTTTCTCAGAAGCTGATCAACATCACATACCACATACAGGGCGATTTTCGCTTCGATGCATCATAACTGCTTTGCACTCCGGGGAGTTTGGCGTAGCAAGTACGGAACGGACACGGCTCTCCCACTTCTGTCAACGTTTGCCACCATTTACGTCATGGTGCATGGGAAGAATCGATTTCAAATTTCAAGTCAGCCCTTCGACTTGTTGGCACGTTCCTATGGCCGTCCACAGAGCTGCGTTGTTAAGCTGAGCATCGTTTCTTCCAAGACAACGCCAAATACGGCACAAGCGACACGCATTGCTGGCAGCCCCGACCGACCCTGACGGCTCACTTTTACAGGTGGGCGGGTATGCGCTGTAGAAGCCGGTGGACAGGCACTCGCGCTCCTCGGGCCCCGAGAGCAGGTGGCCCTCCTCGCAGCGGTAGGCGATCCGGCTGCCCACGTTAAAGTCGGGCGCGATGAGGGTCGAGTTGGGCGGCTGCTCCGGCTTGCCGCAGGTCAGCGGCTCTGTGGCCCGTGTCAGCTGGTCACGCGTGACGTCGGCGGTCACGGTCAGCGCATGCACGCATCAGAGGTGGGAGCGTCGGGCTCGCAGCCCTTCAGACCAGATCAAGCTCTCAGTACTGCCTGTGTCGTCGATGTAAGCAACTGCAAACTGACTGGGCTGGCCCGCCGTGAAGCCGGAGGCGTCTGCCGCTACACGCACTGATCGCACGCACACGCACTGATTGCACTGATCGATGCTACGCGCACTGATCGGTGGAAGACATGACGGGATCTGCCTTCGTGCCGCACTGTGTGGGTGATGATAAGACTGGTAAGATACGGGTGGACAAATATCTAATTTGCTATACTTTGTGCACGCGCATCACATGATTTTTGGTGACAATCTGGATGGTACATGATCATTGATGAGCATCGGTCATCAATGGTAAAACCGTAGTATATTACAAGAATATTAAATTAATAATCGACGACTGCCTACCCGAATCCATTGCCATGGTTTCCGCACGGCCGATCTCCTACCACAGTTCTCCAGATGCATCGCGATGGCGCTGTTTAACGCCGCCACCGCTGCACGGTCGGCCAGACATTCAAGGTTAACACACTCCGGCTGCTCACGGTGCTGGCAGATGAAGTTCAGACGGAGGTTGCAGTTGGTGTCAGACCAGAGCCAGTCCTTGGTGCCGTCGAAGCGAGCGCAGTTCTCCTGGCCGCCGGGCAGGCTCCAGAAGCTGACGCCCAGGTCCTGGCCGTTGATCCACTTCCAGTTGCCGGGGTTCTGCGGGTCACGCACGGCTCCCATCCAGTACTGGCCGTTCGGGTCCTCCCTGGCGGCGAGATCAAGTGCGTCAGGTCGCGGGTCAGATCAGGCCAGCAGTCTTGGCCGCGTGCTGACGGAGACGGCTACATGTGAGCTGGACTTTTCAGCTCGTTGACGCATTGTAGGCAATCAATGGAGACGCGCGATGAAGTAATCACAATGTGCTCGAAAACCAAAGGGCACGGCACATGTTGCACACACACAAAGACTGCTTACTCTGTCATTCAAACATGGACAATACAACAACATGTACGACACTCAACGCTCGCATAAAGTGTCCGGATATGGAAGAGCTCCCTCCATCTCTGCCTCATCCCCTCTTTCAGAGTTGCTACGTCCGTACTTTCTGGAGACCTCTCAGACTCTCGAGCTCTGCCAGATCATTTTTCATGCAGCTCTGCTTCATCTATTTCTCCCTTACCTCTGTCACACCAGTGTGTCTTCCAGTTTTTCATCATCTGAACCTTTCACAAAGCTTCTAGATCTATCTCGTCTTCCTCACGTTTGCCCTCTTCACAGATCCCTGCGCACGTCTCCTCAAAATCTTCCACAGATAATAATGAGTGAACTCCATGAGCTTCTCCCAGCTCCACCTCACCTGTGTCTCCTCCAGAGCTCCCAGCTGAGGAAGCCTTGCAGCGCCGGGTTCGTCTCGTCGATCAGCGTGCCGCCGCGACCCTGACAGAACTCCTGCGCCTCGGCGAAGCTCTGCGGCTGCTGGTTGTAGAAGGTGTAGCACTTGCCGTTGTAGGTGGCGGTGCTGCCTGGCGGCTGGTCCCGGAACTGGGGGCACCGCTCGATCGGCAGCGCCTGCCGCGCACAACCACCAGCCCGGGTCAGACATGAACTGGAGACACCGCTCGATCGGCAGTGCTTGCCGCGCACAACCACCAGCCCGGGTCAGACATGAACTGGAGGGGCACCGCTCGATCGGCAGCGTCCGCCGCGCACAACCACCAGCCCAGGTCAGACATGAACTGGGGGCACCACTCGATCGGCAGCGTCTGCCGCGCACAACCACCAGCCCGGGTCAGACATGAGCCGTAGGCACCGCTCGATCGGCAGCGTCTGCCGCGCACAACCACCAGCCCGGGTCAGACGGGGACGGCGGCGCTGTAGATCAACGGTCCAGGGTAGAGGGTCGAGAGGGTGGGGGGGCATAAGCCGACTTTACTTTGATGTTGCACCGGCTGAGCAATGCATAAGGCCATCGTGTTTAAGTGCGTGTACGTTGTGTTCGGCAGGTTTGGACTCTATGGTGAGTGGACATTGACGACTGGCTCGGCTTGGTTGGCACATTTGGGAGGAGCAAAAATAATTTACTTATTTCGGTTTGCAGAAATAAAGGCACAACTGAAGCTTCTCTGATGCGGGTGAGTTAATGTGGGTGAATATCTTGTATGCTCTGCCTTTACATGTGTTGCCGCCATTGCAGCTTGCGTGTTCGTGCCGTACGGCGAAAATGTAAAAATACCAGAAATAAAATGGTGGGGGGGGGGGGAGGGGCGGATATACTAAGTGGAATGTAGTGAAACAACGGGAATTCTATGTTCTACTGGCGGAGTGTTCCGAACACGACACAACATGGTGCCGGGTAGTTCAGGGCCCACCTGATCGGTGTAGACGAAGGCCTCGCAGATGGAGAGCATCTGGCCGGGCGGTCCCTCGAGGTGGACCGAGATGAACGCCCCAGGCATGGGCGGATTGCATGGCAGGAACAGGGGACGGCCCTCTTCCATGAAGCCTGACGAAGACGGACGGACGCGGTCGACGGGGTCACGTTCAGCATTAAATGAAAGGCAGTGGCTATTGTGGAAAAGGTATCACCCAACGCAATGTGTGTATAATCCATGCACCATCACAAAAGACTTTTCACGTACGTTTTAAGCGTCACTATGCAAATGCAAAGTGAGTGAAAGTAGCCATCCGCATCGAAGTCGAAGTCGCTAGTGCTGTGCGGGTTATTGTGGCTCACTTCCGCCGAACATGACGTGACATTGTGCTCCGAGAACCGGCCTCGTAGCCGCCCAGTGTCGCTGGACTAGAGCGCCCGCCATAACCCGTGCTGGGCTTACCAGTGAAACGGTTGCAGATGGGGTTGATCTTCAGGTCCGGTCTGTTGTTACCGACCCGCACCACAATGGTGGCCGGAATGTTGTCCTCTGCAGCGGGGAGACAAAAGTGGGTCAAACGTATGCATCAGACACAAACAGCGCACCCGCTGATGCCTTACTGGGAGCATCGGCACTGGCGTTCGCGACATCCGGGTTTTCTTGTTGAGGGCGGGTTGCGGCCAATCTCTATCCATTCCTAGGCTCGCTCGGGCCCAGACGCGACAAGCTGCGGTGTCCATGTTAGTACAGTCTGCTGCTGTGCAGCACCCGTACCGTGGGGTTGTCATCTGTTTTTAGCTGGGTCAGCGGGGCCAGAGGGATCGGCGTGATCGGTGGGATCGGCGGGATCGGAGGGATCGGAGGGATCGGAGGGACCGACTGAACCGGTAGGATAGGCAGAAACAGCGGGATAGGTGGGACTGGAGAGACCGACTAAACCGGTGGGGTCGGCAGAATCGGCGGGATAGGTGGGGGTTAGTGTGGTCGGTGGGACCGACTGAACCGATGGGATCGGCGGGCCGGCGGGACTGGTCCCCGCCAGGCGGCGACCCTGCGGCGTTCGACCGCCCGGCGCCTCTCCCCGTGACCGGAGTCGTGCGTGAGAGCTGACGGGCCGTTCAGTCGGAACCTGGCCGGAGCCGTTACTCCGCCGGTGGCACGCGCTGGCGCCGATCACCGACCCCTGACGACAGCCCCGTCCGCAGGCGTTGGAGCCAACCGCTGGCCCTCTCTGCAGTCATCGGCGCCGACCGCTAACCCTCGACGACAGCCCGCGCTCAGGCACGAGAGCCAACCGTCGGTTCTTCACGGTACCCGAGACCTTCACAGCACTGCGATGTTGACCTCGATATTGCTCTGCCGAGTTGGCGGGTTTGTGGCGTGTAAGGCATGCGCGCGCAGAAAGTGTGAAGCGGCTGACGATGAACACGGTGGCCAAGCCTAAGCGTTGCAAAACACTGAGTTTTAATCCCCCGGAAACGCTCTGGAGCTTCGTCACTGAAAGATGGCGTGGCCCATCTTTCATTTAGTCTTCGCGCTGTTCCAAATGGGGTCGCTGCATATGCCAAGTCGAACGTATCTAATTTTTTTGCACGCTGTAAACAAAGTACGCGAGCAGACCACATCAACTTGGGAACCTCACGTCTGGAAACATCGCAAAAGCGGCTAGCACAGCTAGTGCGCGCGCGATGGTCCGAGTCAGGAACAGTCTCCCCAGGCCGGCACGGGTCTTCACGTGACTGGCAGTGTGACGGGAGACCGGTCCGGCGCAGGGGAAGAACCGGTCCGATGCGTCGGGTCGTGCTACCCGCCCCGCCGACCGCCGTCTGGCGAGCACCACCCACTCGCGAGGAATGTGGCGAGGAGGCCACCGCGGCGACCAGGAGAGGGCGCAGACCAGCGGCGTCCGGATGTTGACGGCCCATGCGCTTGCTGACGCGTTTGGTTCGACGTAGATCGGAGATATAGTTTTAGGCCTAGTCACCATTAAGGGTTGTTGTAAGATTACACGATGCTCCCAGCATATGACCCTAAACAAATAATGCACGCATATGCCGATCACTTGCTACGTGTGTGGGAGTGGATTTAATGCCCTGATGTGTTTGGAATGGCGGGAGCCATATGAATGTGTGGCGACGATTTATTAATAATGTAGACAAGGAAGACATGCAATGGCACAAAGTACGTTGAATAGAGAGCCGTTATAGGAGCGAGACAGACGTTGTTTTGAGACGAAACAGTGTCAGCAGGTCCAACCCGACAATGAGAAAGTTCTGTGTTTCACCTAAGCTGACAACAAACCTAAGGCTCAGCTAACGAAGCCGGACATTTTGCCAGAAAGAGCTAATTGGACACGCCTCAGTGATAAAAGCAGTTCGAGAAACGCACGGATTGCTCGTTAAGACCTCCAGTCATGCAACGTGAAACTCGATGAACTTCAGTGATGACAACAGCTTGATTAAAAGTGGAGAGTGAAGATGAACGGCTTCAATCCTCCAAAACAAAATCCGAACAAGGTCGTCTGAGGCTGCCTAGTTTTCGGGTCGGCTGCTGGCCGGCCCGCCTCTGCC